TGTTTCCCAGCATCTCTGAATTTCTTCTTTCAAAATATTGACAGAGCCTGCAGCCCACCGCGGACACCCGCGCACTGCCAGCACCAGCCACAGAGAGGGCCACGCCTGGCCTAGAACAGCTCACAGAAGGTTTCTTCCCCGGTAGGTGTTTTGTACAAAGCCAGTGCTCTCCATCCCTCGGATAACGGACTTGGGCGAAACAGGGTGGGCAAGTAGCAAGCACGTGGAGTCCAGAGGAGCAAAAGACCCCCTCCCTGCCTGGGGTGGGCAGACACAGCAGCTTCTGTGGTGCAGAGTGGCAAATCTGGAGCGACCTGGGCAAACCACCAGGAGCCAGGCTGGGAAGCCCAGAGCTAGGATAAAGCTCTTATCTCAGCTGCTGGGTCCTAGGAGCTCCAACCTGTCTAATCACCCCATTCTTCACGCTCATGCTGGGGACCCCTCCTGGGGAGTCAGGGGACGCATTTTGCTCTGGATTTTGCTGTCTAGAAAATGCTTTTCAAGGACTCATTCCTTCAGGGGGGGGGGGGGGCTCTTGTGTGTGGGACTCCCCTGGCCTCCATCCTGGCTGTGGTCCCACGCAGGTGTGTTTGCCTGCAGGTTCACTGACCAGGCATTAAGTGACCAGGAGGAAGAAGTCGGGAAAGGAAGGGTGTGGGAGGTGATAGCGACCTCTGTCCTCAGACCAATGGGAGCTGGGCAGTTCCACACGCTGTGTCTGCTCTCGCTGTGCAGTGAGGCTGGGAGACACCACACCTTCCAGCCCTGAGGCCTCCCGCAGGCCACAGAGGCTGAGCCCAGCTTCCTGCACCCTTGGATGGAGCACGGCGGGCAATGAAGGAGCCAGTAGGTGTGGCATTGGCCCCCTCCACCTGCAGGGGCTGCAGGACCCTCCGTCTCTCCTGCAAAATGACAGGATCCTTGCCCCCGGTGATAACAGACAAGCTGCATCAAGATGCACTTGTGTGATGCCAGGCCATGTGAGTGATGCAGTAGTGGAACCTGAATCTCTCCCATGTGTCCACTCATCCTTCAGAATAAACTGGGAAACTGGGGGAGACAGCCAAGGTGTGAGCCTGTAGAGCGTGCTAAAAAGTCTAAGGATAATCATTAACTTTCCTCTTTCCCTAAACAGCTCTGCCAACCTTAACAACCCCACTGCCCACAGCCCGTCTGCTCCGTCCTTCTGTGGACTCATCTCCAAAATACGTCTTGTCCCAACAACTCCCCACCCCCGTCCAAGGCACCTCACTTCCCACTGAGCTTCACCAATAACCTCTTGACCAGCTCCCTGCAGCCATTCCTGCCCCAGAAACCAAGAGCCGAGCTCCCCAGTGCCCTGCTAAAAAAAAAAAAAAAAAAAAAAAAAAAAAAAAACCTTCCCCTGCACCTTCACCCATGGGTTCCCTAAAACACAAGCCCTTATCTGACCAAGCTCCCGTGGCCTCAGCCAGGCCCTCTGCACCTCCCCTGGTACCTAGCCCTCCCTAATTGCTTAGTCCAAGGTCAACACTCCCCAGTCCTTATCAGAGTGGTCAGTTCCCTCTGGTGTTTTTCATTTCCACTCTTGTGTCTAATTTTCCATCAGAACACCTCTGTCAACACAGCCTCAGCTTTGTCACTGCTTGTCCACGGGACTAAGACCACACTCACAGAGACCAGGTGAGCACTAAGTATTTGCTTAATGAACGAAATCACTGAGGGAGAACCAACGCCTGCTGCCCACCCCCCACCTCCCATATCCTCAGAGGACCCCTCGCCCACCGTGTAGAGCTCCGGGGAGTCCCAGCTCACATACATCACTCAAAGACACCAAAAGGAGAACAATACGCCTTCCCGTTTCCCTTCCTCGCAGACACATGGAGACAAAGACCTTAGGTGAGTAATTTAGCCAGCTGAACCAGAAGCGATGAACTAGAATCAGAGCTCCCAGAACCTCGTCCCACCCAGAACCTGCTGCCCTCCACGGCCCACCTTGGAAAACTGTTTCCTTTCTCTAGACCTCAATTTCTTCACCTGCAACAAGAAGGCACTGATCCCAGGAGAACGGGTAAAAGAACTTGGATAAATGTGTCCATTCGTGAAGGAATACGTTAAAGAAACCAGGACCAAAAACAGAGAGGGATGAAAGCAAATGCCAGAACTCCAACATATGAATGGGATTCAAATGATGCAGAAAACTTTTATGTTATTAGGAAAAGCATCAAGTGAGGGGGGCACATCCCGTGTCTATCTTTGTTTCTTCTCTCCATTGTGATCAAGAAGCAGGTGGGGTTTCACAGCACTGCCCTTCCACGAATAAGCTGAAAAGGGTGAAGTTTCCAGGTAGGTCTAAGCTGCCTTTGTGCCCTGGTGCTGTGTGATTGGGAGCTCACCAGGTTATTGCCCTGGTCATGGTCAGGACCCCAGGTGCCTCTGGGTATGGGAGGAAGGGGCATCCCCAGGTCTGCATTCCCTGGACCCCAGGGCTGCATGTGGGGGAGGGCTTGGGAGCCAAATGTGGGCTGCATGTGGGGGAGGGCTTGGGAGCCAAATGCTGCCTCCCAGAGGATGTGGGACTTTCCTTGAACTCTGGAGAGAGGTCCTCGCCCATCCCTGGGGTGAGTAATTGGAGCTGTCCAAGGTTGCCTCTTGGCCACCCAGAAGGAAGCATTTGTGAGAAAGTCAGCTCAGTTAAAAGCAACCCCGAGGGACCGAGAGAAGACAAATGAACGAAAACCCCAAGTTGTTGTGTTGATGCCATTGAGCCCTGGACCCAGCTGGGCTGCAGCAAATGGGCCTTGGATCCTGGGTTCCTTTCGAGCCTCACCAGGTGCTCAGGGTTTGTCACAGTCCCAGGGCAGACCTCAGCTCACGTTCTCGGGGTGGCATCTGCTCCACCTCGGCCCTCGCAGTTACCTTGGCACAAAAGACAGCACCGTCCACTAGACGGCGCTTGAGGGTCATGGCCCACCCACACACGCCACACTCGGGCTACAGGGGGCAGTGCTGTGTGTACCTGGGTTCCCTGGGAATGGGCTCCTCGCTTCCCACACCAGGGGCCCGCGGGTTTTGATACCAGGCTGAAGTCAGAGCCTTTGAAAAGCTCTTTGTGCAAATTGTCCAGGTCGCGACGGTGACAGACGGTCATCTGAGAGTCAGTCAGTGCTGGAATCAAAACTTTAAAAATCACAGTTTATTTTCCCCGAGTCCCCGACTGCCCCTGTCTGCCTGGAAATCCTGACTCAGCTTCGGTCTTTAGCTCAGCTGTTGGCGTCCACCTGTGCAGCCAAGGCAGCTGTTGAGCAGGCTGGAAAATGTGGCTGTCTGTAAGCTGCAGGGATCCATCTCCCAGCCTTGAAACCCAGCACCGGGCACAGCCTCCCCGAGACCCTGGACCTGGCACCTGGGCTCTGGATCCAGCTCACAGCCCCTGGCTGCTGTTGTCTGCAAGGGCTGCTGCTCCTCCAGGGTCCACATCACCTTGGAAGCCTCCTGACCTTATGCTGGCATTGGATGCTCTTTCTGTCTCCTTGCAGTGGGGCAAGGTTCTCCCTCTGTGTGCAGAGGCCCTGTTCTCAGGGACGCAGAGTGGTAGATGTAGGCAATTGCACGACAGTGGTGTGCAGTGGAAGAACACCAGGCACTGGCAGGGAGAGGAGACACCCAAAGCAGCTGGCGAAGGCTTTTTGGAGGAAACCACAGCCAAGCTGAGTTCTAAATAATGGGTGCAGGTGACACAGGCTGTTGGAGGGGCACCCAGCCTGAACGGACATAAGACGGGGGAGGTGGGGGGCGAGCAGAGAAGCGCCAGGTTCGAGTGTCCCTGGAGCAGGGAGCAGGATGTCTCCTCCACAAGGATCGCAGGGTGGGGCACGGACACGGGGGCACTGGAGGCAGCCGTGAGCTCAGGGAGCCACAGCAGGAGTTTCACCAGGGAAGTAAAGGACCCTGCTTGGCTCTCGCCGGGTCCAGCTGGAGGGGTGATTTGGGCAGACCTGCTGGTTGTCAAAGCAGAACGCTCCCTGCTTGTTTGCGCTGCTCACTCAGCCTCCGCATGGATCAGGCCTGGCGAAGGTCGACCCCAGCTTGGGTACAACGTCATCTTTCTCATCTGGCCACTGTGACAGGGCTGCTCAAAGCCTGGGCCTTACCTCGTCCCCTCCCATCCCTCAGATCTGTCCCTGGGGTCTCAGGTACCCCACAGCTGAGGCTCTGGCACCCAAACATCTGCCCACCGTTAGCCTGGGAGCCTCTCCCATTTGGATGAAAGTGATCATCACGACATGACCTCGTCGGGTTTTGCTCATTTCACAGAGACCCCAAATGGCTGGCTCCGTGGAGTGTAACCTGGGTCTCACGGCCTTTCCAAGCTCATGCCTATCTTTTGTTGTCATTCAAAGCTTGGTGAGTGGGTGGGCTGTTTTTAGTGCATCAAATGACAAGCCCTGGGCCAAGAACTCAGCAAACAGAAGTAAACGGGACAAAACTCAGGAACTCAAACTTATCACAGCCAATACAAGTAGGTAATCATCTCTTTCATCCAACAACAGAGTGCTGAAATGCTGTGGGATCCCCGCCCCCTCCCCCAGGCACCGTTCAGCTCCTAGGCAAGCCTGGCGCAGGCTCTGAATTAGAACTCAGCACTCCAGCCTCTGCAGTATTCCACTGCCACCCTCCCAGTTGCAGTCAGAGACTCCGAGAGAACTCCCCCGTGGGGACAGGCTCATCTGTCTCCGTGTGCTGCTGTCACAGCCCAACAGCCACTGGGCTAGGACTCCTGGTGGCTGAGTGTGCTGGGAAACCCTGGGAAGCCGTCTTCCTGATGCCAGAGGTGGTTGTCTGACCGCAGTGCACGCTGAGCCAGCTCTGGCTTTGTCAAAAGGAATCAGGCAAACGGTGACAGACACTCAAGCAATCAATCTCCCTGACAGATAGCAGTCCCAGCAGACTGGCTTCCTTGTGCACAGGCAGAGACAAGGTCCACACTCCCAGCCTCCGAACCCCAAGCCCTGTCTCACCTGGGCAGGGCTCCCTTTGTCATGGCGTCTGCAGGCTCCCAGCAGCCGGGAGTTCTGTGCTTCCGATGGGGCTCGTCTGGGAGGCACCAGCTCAGCTTATAGTTCCCTCTCACAAGACACTCGTCAAAGCTTCGCCCAGCTGCAGAGTGGAATCTGGGTTGGGGGATCCTCTACGGGGCTGCCAGAGACGTTTGGCACCGCCTGGCACGACCAGCCTCGGCTGAGCTCTGTGCAGACTGCTGACCTGGCACCGGCGCTGTGTGATATAACTCGCCGGCACGGGAAGCTTTAACTGTCTCTTCCCCAAGCCAGTAGCCATCCGATCTCTGCAGCGTGTGTCTTCCTGCCACACCACGTTTCCCACGCCCCAGCAGCTCCTGCCAGGGCTCCTGTTCTTCAGGGCTTCCCAGCCCAGCCCCGCAAAGCATGCCAGGCAAGAATCCATCGTGTTTAGCAGTCACTAAAAATCCCAAGCTTCTCTTTATGTCCTTCTCCTGGGTTAGTTAACCCAATTAAAATATTTTAAGCATGAAGGTATTTACGAAGATTCTAGTGTTTTTCCATAAATACCAATTGATTGAAATCATTTTATTCTTAAATTGTATGTGTGTGTGTGTGTGTGTATTCAAGCAACCATTCCTTCATTCCTATCTAACATGTTGTTCTCATTTCATCTGTGTGATTTTCAAACTCCATATGGAAAAGATACGGTTGACCAGGGAGACATGGATATTAAAAACACATAGCCATGTAGGAAATTACTAATGCACGTTAGGACACAGATTCAGTTGCTACAGGGGTGGAGAGATACCTGAGAAGCCGAGACTTGAAACAGGGTTCTGGGCCCAGGAACAATAGCCATTGCACCAGGCAGAGCTGTGCACACGGTCTGGGTCGCGGCTTCAACATCTCCCGGGCTTGTGCACAGTGAGGCTAGCAGACTGCCCCAGTCCCTCCCAGCATCCGCCTTCTGTTCCTGCTCCAGACCGCAGCTCCCTGCAGCTCTGAGAGGCAGCGCCACTGTCCTGAGGTCCTTACGTTCTCTCCCTGCCCTTTCTGGGCTCCGGAAATTGGGCAAGTCGTCCAGTGCCTCGAGACCTCGATGGCCCCATCCGCATGAAGAGGAAACCCTGCCGGCTGCGTGGGTCCCCACAGCCGCTGTGGGAATCGGTGAGCTGCTCCACGGACGCTCCCCGCAGCAGAGCTGGGTCCGTGGTTTGTGCTCAACAAATGTGGACTCCTGTGATGCTGAATTCACAGGTCTGCCCTCTTCTACAGCTACTTAGTCTGTACCAGCTCCGGGGATGTTGACCCCTGTTAGACGCATGTAAGAGTCACAGTCTTCATAAAACAGGATCCCGCCGGCGCCGCGGCTCACTAGGCTAATCCTCCGCCTTGCGGAGCCGGCACATGGGTTCTAGTCCCGGTCGGGGCGCCGGATTCTGTCCCGGTTGCCCCTCTTCCAGGCCAGCTCTCTGCTGTGGCCCGGGAGTGCAGTGGAGGATGGCCCAGGTGCTTGGGCCCTGCACCCCATGGGAGACCAGGAAAAGCACCTGGCTCCTGGCTTCGGATCAGCATGGTGCACCGGCCGCAGCAGCCATTGGAGGGTGAACCAACGGCAAAGGAAGACCTTTCTCTCTGTCTCTCTCTCTCACTGTCCACTCTGCCGGTCAAAAAAAAAAAAAAAAAAAAAAAAAAAAAAACAAAACAAAACAACAACAACAAAAAAAACAGGATCCTGCTGCTGATGAGGCCACTTCCCTTTATTGAGGAGACAAAGCCCTACCTTAGCAAAACACAAATTAAAAAAAAAAAAAAAAACACTGTTCTTTGTGCATTTCCTGTTTGCCTCTGCTAGTCTGGATGTGGTTTTGTGCTTCAAGGGCTCATGTGTTAGAAGCTGAGACCCCAGTGTGGCACAAGAGGTGGCTCTAAGGGGAGGTGGATAGTCACTGGGACCCTGCTGTTGGAACTGTTAAGATAGTTCCCAATAGAGGTCGCTGTGCAGAGTAAACCTGGCTCCTACTGTCACCCCGGATGCCTGGCTCATGGTGTGATCATCCCCTCCGGCGTGTGCACCTGCCCTGTGTTGCCATCCACAGTGAGGTCCCCACAGAGCCCAGCTAAGGCCAACGTCATGCCTTTGAACACCCAGAACTGTGAGCTAAAGCAACCTCTTTCCTTATAAAGCATCTTCGGTCAGGTATTTCCGTACAGTAATGGAAAGGAGACTAATACAGCCAGCATGCTCTGTGAAAGACATTTTATATCATGTGCACTTCAGGGAATTGTGTAAAGTTCTCTTTCAGGGGTTAGTATTGTGGTGCAGTGGGTTAAGCCTCTGCCTGTAGCACCAGCATCCCATGTGGATGCTGGTTCAAGTTCTGGCTGCTCCACTTCCAATCCAGCTCCCTGTTAACGCACCTGGGAAAGTAGTGGAAAATGGCCCAAGTGCTTGGTCTCCTGCACCACCATGGGAGACCAGGATAGAGTTCCAGGATCCTGACTTCCTCTTGGCACAACCCTGGTCACTGTCACCATCTGAGGAATGAAACAGCTGACAGAAAATCTCTTTCTCTCTGTTTTTCCCTCTTTCTCTATAACTCTGCCTTTCAAATAAATACATAAATCTTTTTTTAAAAAAAGATGCTTTCCCTTTCAATAACTATTAGAAAGTCCCTCATTTTAAAAAAGAGTAATTCCAATGCATTAAAGTTATATAATCTGCCCAAAGTTGTAGATCTGCCTGGTAGCAAATCCAGGACTAAAACCCAAGGAGTCTAATTTGAAGTCTTCATCCAATGAATTACTTGTGCCAGAGGAGAGTAGTTAACAGGGGAAACTGAGGCAAGGTTCCTTAGGGGAACAGAGGTATGGGTTGATCTTTCTCTCCTCAGTTTCTCTTTGCTATGCAGTGGTGGTGTCAAAATTTTTATTCATGCAAGGACCTTAGAAACAAGCCTTTCAGTATGGACCTACAAAATATTTTCTGCTGTATTGTTATGTAAGCCCCACGTTAACTAAAGCCGTAATAGTAGCAACCACAGAGGGGAAGTCTCCACTGACAGACCACTGCAGGGCACTCCACTGAGCTCTTTGGACAATGCCTGCAATCCCACCGGCTCTCGTTTCTCTCAGAGGAGAAACGTCAACAGGATCTGGCTCCAGTTTCATGAAGCAAGGCCGAGAAGGGTGGACTTACAGCTAAGAGGCATGTAGCTTCATTATTGCCCATCACCAAAGAAAAACTCCCAAGGCAGGCATTTGGCACAATGGTAACATGCCACTTGGAATGCTCACAACCCAAATCGGAATGCCTGGCTCCAAGTCCCAGTTCTGCTCCCACTCCTGGCTTCTTGCTAACGTGCACCCTAAGAGGCAACAGGTGATGGCTCCAGTACCTGGGTCCCTGTCTCGCAAGTGTGACTCCTACGTTGAGTTCCTGACTCCTGGCTTTGGCCTGGCCAGTCCTGGCTCCTGTGGGCATTTGGGGAGTGAACCAGTGGATGGAGATCTATGTCTGTCTCTCTCTATGCCTTTTTAAGAAATTGAATCAAATAAATAAAACCTTAAAAAATAAAGGAAGGAAGGAAGCTCTGGACAGGAGAGGAGAAGAGCACCTCTACCTCACTGGAAGAATTAGGAGCCACTACAGTCTCAGAGGTTTGTGTTTTCAGTTTTTTATTGTTGTTGCTTTTGTTTTTGGCTCGATTTTTTTTCCACTAACCTGTCATTCATTAAAGCAAAAACTAACATTGACTTGCTCAGTGTGCTAGCTATGGTGCTGAACATCTTTATAGAAGCTGGCAGATGCCTATGTCCATCTTGAGTGTTCATTCCTGATAATGTGGACATCAATTTCCTTCTAATCAGCTCCCACTCATTCCAAAGATTGCCAAGAATAGCCACATCTTTCATGTAACTTTGCACGACTGGTCCTCCTGTGTGACTCTCGGAGGAGTCCATGTCTGCTAGTGACTTCCCACCCCATTTCTTTAACTCATTTCTGTTATTACGAGAACGTCCTTTCCATGTAAGTACTCATTTTCCCATGCGTTTCTTTTGTGGGCCCATTAAGGATAAAGGTGGTGTCTCAATTGCTTTTGTTTCCCTGGTTCAAATCCAATATTCCCCAACCTCTGAACTATTAAAATTTGTGTTCATATAATTCTTGTTTGTGTAGAACCGGCCTGAGTATTGTGCGAAGTTTGCCAGCATCCCTGGCTTCCCCCACTAGGTGCCAGCAGCACCCCCTTCCCAGTTGAGATGCCCAGGAATATCTCCAGACAGTGTCAAATGCCCCCAGAGCACAAAATAATCCCACCTGAGAAACACATGCTAGTCTGATTGCTGGATCTGAGCCGAAAAAAAAGTTATTGCTAAACAAAAATCCAATTCAAATCTTTTGACAATTCCTATCTCTCAACTTGTTTCTCTAAGAAAAAATAAGCTACAAATTTGTGCATGTATTCATTTAATTAGTAAATTGGATGGGCATACTCTAAGAAGTTCCCTAGCTCTGAATGCACACTTACAAGAAAAATAAATTGCTGTCCTCACTGAGATTAGCTGACAGATAAAGATCTTGCAGAGACACCTGTACACACAAACGCACAGCTAAGAAATCCGTCACCAGTTCATGCATCTGTTGGTTCATTTCACAAGGAATGGTTGTTCCTGTTCTGTTTTGGACACACCCACCCACAGTGCTAAGGATATGAGATAATGTAAGACAGAGTTCCTGTCCTCAGGCAAAAGTAGGCAGAGGAAATCTTGTAAACAAATGGGTGCAATAAAATATTTATTCATGCAATAAATATTTAGGCAGAGTGCTACAGATTGATAATAACATTCTGAACAAAACTGATGCTGCCTCATGCAGCTCTCAGTCTAACAATGAGGAGAGACACTAAGTGAGAAATAAAAGCCTTGTAGTGGAGGTAAGGGCTCACCATGGGACCCAGGGCGAGTGCATCTATCTCACGGAGAGGATTTGTGGGGATTTCAGCAAATGTCCATAAGCTTCTTGGCACTCATCCCATAAAAAAGTAAGGTCCACGCCACCTCCGCTTGGACACGGGGGCACTTCGGTGATCAGATTTTGATATCACAGGCACAAGCGCGCCCTGCGACTCACAAGGGGAGGCGTGAGCTGTGGTGGGACTCTGCCTGGCTCTCTCTACCCTGGAACCTTCTCCCTCAGAGCTCAGCTGTGATGTGTTAGGGGAGCTCAGGTGTACGGACAGGCCCACTAGACCTGCGAGCTTTCCCGTGCCTCCAGCCTTCAATTTGCCCAGTCCGAGGCTAACCAGGGTGCAGAGGAGCCATTGCACACAAACCCCATCCACACCACAGATCTGTGAGTGAACAA